TTCTGGGTCGGCAATTGGTCGGGAAACGATCCTCATGGTATCCATTATACCATAAGCGCAGCGAAGATGACCAACAAAGATCATCGAACTTGGCCCGATTCGGAAAGGGCCAAGCGTTACTATTTTTATTATTAATGTGCCAAGCGTATAACAAATAATAAATTCAATAAAAATTATTTAGCATTATAACGTTATATCCGAGTGACTTTGTTCAATAAAAATCAAGCATTCTTTAAAATAATTCAATTCGTATCCTTTATTACTTTCCCCTTTGATTCATCAACAGTAAATTTTTGCGGCAAAGTGGGCACTACGTTGAATTATTTGTGTAAGAAAGGATGGCGACAGGACAAAAATAATTTGTACACTAGAGCACAATTATATCAATTGAAAAATTATTGACGAGCTTTATTAGCTCACGACACTGAGCGATGAGTTACATCTTTAATTTTATTAATAGTAACTTTCAGGCGCGCTTCGCACGCGTACATTTTTCAGTCAGTTTCGAAAAAGTTGCTATTTTGACCGTAGATTTCACTTTATTACGTTTCGACTCGAGTCAAAAGTCAGTCAACCAATCAGAGGCCGAATAGATTGGCTTCACTTTTAGGGTCATCATTATTTTAAGAGAGGAAAAAGAGAGGAAGAGATGATTTGTAGAAGCGTAAAGCAACTACTTTATCGGTCGTACACACCGAGTACGCGTACTTTATACCAAATGGCAGCACCGCGAAGCTTCGGAAACAGCTGGAGCAGCAATTGACTCGAATTCAAAGCGGAATTGCCGCGCTCGTGCGCGCGACCGTCGCGTTTCGCCGCTGCAATGCGCATGTCGCGTGCGATTTATCGCAGAGACCCAAAATGTGCAGGCAAGTACATAATGAAAATCAAGCTCCATGCGATATATCTATACAAACGCGCGTTGACTGGGTAATCTCGCGAGTTAGCAGCAGCTCCTGTATACCTGTATCTACGTGTGTGGCGAGACGCAAAGGCCGAAAAGCATCATGTTGGTCAATAAATCGCCTCGATCCTCGTGCAACGCTATAGGTATACCAGCGAGCACACAAGCAGCTCGCCGCCGCGCGTTGACTTCTGGCAGTAGCAGAAGACTCGGAGTCGTCCGCAGTAGCCAGTGATATATTATTATGACAAGTTGTCTTATTCAATCGCTGTTATTGCCGAGAAATTTTGTAGTGGCTCGTGCAAAGTTTTTGGACTGTACGTAAGCAGCGTGAAAATGAACGAACTTAGTCGTCACGTGCTGGAGATGCAGCCGACTGCACAATGGTTCGCACTATACATACAACTTGATTCATGATTTTTGTTTTTCTTTTTTTTTCTTTTTTTTTCGAACGAAAGTACGTCAGTAGGCTTGAGGTAGCTCGTGAAATTTGTAATTAAGATTTTTCGATGCAGAAATGAATGTAATTGTTGTCGTACTTGCGAGTCGAACGTCACGGAGTGCGTGTATTTAACCTAACATTTTTATTTACGCAATTTCATTGTTTTGATTTTGTTCTATTGCTGATCATTCCGTGTAATCACTCCGTGCTTCTGGGTGAAAGTTGGAATCCTTTTATCACATCATATTTTTTAGCAGTATACTCTGTTATTGTGCCTTGTTAAATTAGTTATTCAACTAATTAAATTAAAATTGTATACTTATAAATTCAATATATTTTAAAATCAAATTTCTATTGCAAATCTATTGTATTATAATTTTGTTGTAATACATTTTTAAGTTTATAAGTCAACTTTATTCTGACTGGGTGTGTTTAAATTCATTTTCAATTCATCAATTGCAAGTATTAAACAAAAGGTTTTTTGATACTGATATTTTACTTACTTTTTTTTAGAAATAATGCCTCGATGGTCATCATTACTATCTGGGGGCTTCCTAGCCCTTTCTATGATACTATCTTTTAGTAAACTTGTACTGTTGGCTTCAGACATTGGAAGTAATGAAGATGTAACAGAGGCTGATCGATGGCTATCAGAAATAGGACTCAAGCAATACCAACCTTTATTCAAACAAAAAGGTATCTAATATTATACTAATGTTCAGGAGTGTAGATATTTTATTAATTTCAAATTATTCATTCATATTTTTATTTCATGGTATGTTAGTATTGAATGAATTAGATTTACATATTATCTAAAAAAGAATTTTTAATACACGTATGAAGAAAAATAAAAACATTGATATATCTTCTACTTTTATTAAACTAGTCAGTAACTCTGTGAAACTCAATTTTAAACTTCTCATAGACTTATACGAATTCACTTGTAAGATTTTCCTCCATTTTGATTCATATTTCTCACAAGATATTGACCAAAAATTCAATTATCATTTTGAAGCTAATTACAATCTTCTTAAATTTAATAAAATTTTAACATGCATACCAACTTCTTCACATACAGTCTTCAAAACTATGATGTAAATACTGTGAAGTGATAAAGTTCAGTATACCTCTTTTAGTCAAATTATATAATTAAATCATCAATGACATTCATAGATTTTAATCTGCAAGTAAATGTACAAAAAAATATTTTTCTTTCTTAAATTACAACCAATTATATAACTTGGGCTGAATTAAATGAAAACACTAAAAAATTGAAATTATTGTATACAAACCATTCTATTTTAAATTTACTTAAAAAACTGAAGAATAGGTCAAACCGCTTCAAAATACGGGAGCGTGATTCACTTTAAAATTATAACAAAGTTTCGATGTTTGTTGCATTCAAATCAGATATTATGCAGTGAGGACCTTTTATTCAAAACATTTCGCTATTCTGTGACTCACTCATCGTATGCGTTATTGTTTAAGAAGTTGGTTCGTTGAATGAGTTCATAATGATAAGAGGGTGGCCAAGCTGCACGTGCGTAATGGCGCAACACACAGCCTCGTCGAGATTTAATGACCGTACAGCCGGCGGGCCCTCTTGACATTCTCGAAATTTATCCACTCGAAACTCATCCCTTTTCTCCAATACGTATACACGACGCAAGCCTGCACGTTATTGTGCTGCATATTCGAATGCACTTTTTTGCACAAAAAAAGTGAATAGCGTACAAGTTGGTAGGGGTAAATAAAATTTTACTCAACGGCGAAAAATTAGCTATGCGTCCCCGTTTTCCTCTTATAATTACGTACATTACTAAAGGAAAAATGCTTCACAGCTCGATTAATTCTCTGGCAAAAGAAGCTGCAGTCCACCCGAATAATTTCGTTTTGCTTTTGTAGTGTACGTATTTGCATTTTTTGGTACGATTCGCTTACATAAATAATGGCTTTGCGGGCATGATTTTTAGAAAAAATTTAAAAATAGAATTCCTGTACAAAAGAAAGAAAGAAATTTGAATTGAAATATGAGCATGGACCAAAAGATTCGCTATTTACAATATCGAGATATAGCATTTATATATTTCAACAATACCGCCGATATACAATAATGAAAAAAAAAATGAAAAAAAAAAAATTGCCAGAATTGACGTTGGGAAATCGAACCTAACTGCATCTGTCACAACTGACATTCTGAGCTTTTTCTCTATCAATCTCTCTCTCATATCAGCGTAATCCTGTTTTTCAAAATGTATATGACATATCGATTAAAGCCACGACAAAGTTTATACGAACTCGTCGATTAAATATTGAACGTACGGGGAAAAATAAGCGGTAAACTTGTCTCTTTCGTCTACAATAGACGCAACATCGAGAGAGAAGCTTTCGAGGTATAATCGCAGGCTCATTAAGTTGAGATGGCAACGATTAAGCTTCAGCTTCCATCGAAATTTCCTCGTCAAACGCTTTAACGACAGATCGTTTAATAACCGAGGACAAAGATATTTTGTTGGTTAAAATACTTGTTCGAACAATGTACTTTCTCTTCCATTATTATATTAAAAATATTATAGCGTCATGCTCGTATAACAATAAACATCTACAAAAAAAACCCAATTACATCAGCTCGTGCAATGATTAAATTTGGAAACAATAAAACGTATAACAAAAGTTCGTGTTATAATCGTCAGGATAGGAGAGCTTGAAAATAAAGTACACAGTGGGTTGAATTAAATAAAAATAAATAGTTAACAGTTTATTCAATCTTGGTGTGTCGAGAAGCCAACGTGCGCTCAGGCTCGCTGCTCCAATCTGTCTGGCCTCGTATGCTGGCCGCGCTCATGCCTCGCGCTACTGCGGCCTGCATGCGACAACAGCGCCGTTGCGAGCCCGACGCTAAGCTACGCGTATCGCTTGCACATCGTATGCTTTATGAAGTATAATGGGCATAACATTCGATTAAACAATTGAGATATATTCGGTCGCACGACGACGATCGCAATCGCGAACTACAGTATACAGACGTCCTCTGCGACTTCGCTTCGATCTCCAATCAGTCGGAGAAAAATGAACTCGTTTAATCGTATCGCATATATCTTTCAAGGATCTCAAGGGCAGCTTTTGACGCAAAACGTCGAGTCAGACGCGTCGGTCGTCGTTTTCGTCGTCGTCGACGTCGACGTCGTTGTTATATTTCGTTTGTTGTTTGTGGGGCCACCTGGGTAAAAGCAGCACATAGAGTTCGAGTCCGCGCGGGGGTGTGCGTTACGCTCGCCAGGGAGATCACCCCCTTTGGAAAATGTTATATAGATATATATATATTATAGCGTTATATACACGTATAGAGGGTAGTAGAATCGCAGTTGGGATATAGAGGGCAGTATACTGCATGCTCACGTGCACAAACACGAACCCAGCAGAGCCTCATGACTGTATGAATATATAGTGGGGAGGTTGTACGTATACGTATAGTTGTCGCATCTACGTATAAGCGCGTGGGTGAGTCGGTGTGAGTTTGGTTGGCGCGCGATGCGCGCGCGTGTCAGCCACTGCTGCTAAAATGTGTGTCTGTATGTGTGTGTGCGAGTGCTGTGCTCTGAAGGCACTGTACACTTTTGCTATAGGCCACTGCTGCACTGCTCGCGTAGATGCAGTCAAGCGCTGAAGCTCCCTACGAACGGAGCCAGTCTAAAGTAACGAGGCATTTGTCCGCGTTCGTATATATCTGCATTGTTGTTGTTGTTGTTGCAGCTACTGCTGCTGCTCGCGCTGTGTCGTTGCCACTGTGTACGTCTTCGTTCGTCTATATATACATAACAACAAAACGCGTGTAAAAGGGAGCTTTCATTCGTTCGCGCCACTTTGTTGTGTGCTTATTATACATCTGCACAAAGACGTGCAACATTTACTCTATCCGCGTGTGTATGTGTGTGACCGTGTGTTTACATTGTAGCGTACAGGTAAGCGCGCCTCTCACACTTGACACGTTTCTTCTTCTTTTTTTTTTTTTTTTTGGTACTCTCCTTTTTTTTCATTTGTCTTGGAGCAAAACAATGCGAAAGCTCGAGGAACCAAGCGAGCGCGCATAATGATGATAAAGCACATATTCGCCACACAGAGGCTGTATGTGTGCAGTGCTTTATGTGTAACGACAATGAGCAAAAATTACTCGGTTGTGTGCTCGCGCGACAAATTACCTTTAGCGCATTGATGCTCGCGCTTCGGTTGCAGTGTATGCACGCTGACGCCGTATATATATACCTAACAGGAGCTTTATATTCGCGTATAATGATCTTTGTACGCGCACTGCGACGTGCGACTAGGTGTGCAGCGAGAAGGCTGTGGGTTATTTTTTATGCATGATGCAAACGAGCACAAAGAGCCCGTAGTAAAATAAAAGGTTGCAAAGTCTTCGCGCGCTGCGATTCGCGGCACTTCAATTCTTTTGCTTCGCTGGCGAAATATATTCTGCGCTAATGAATCATTCAAATTTCGAAATTGTTTCAACTTTGCAGTCTCGGTTGAACGAATATTAGTTAAATTACTGTTTATCTAAACTTTCTTTTTTAACTTACCATGATTATTTTTATTGATTTTAATATTGTTTAGTGCTTACTCGTGTTACAGTATCATAATTGAACCAACTTTAAAAATGTAAGGTTGCTAATAAATTGGTTCACCGAAAAAAAATTACTGTCGAAAAATTTACAAAGAGCTTTTTCCAAGTATGTAATATAAAGGCATTCTTCTCTTCAAACATTTTGTAATATCCTTCCAAGTCTGACAGATTCTGTAAGCTTGAATATTTAAAGCCCAAAAGCACTCTGTAAAATTTCAAAAAATCATTGTTGCAGATGTAAGCCGACTTTTTGAGGTTTTACGTAGCCCTCAAAAATTTGAATTCGCTAGAAGCCAATAAATTATTTAATAACTTTGTTGTATAACTTTGTTCTAATTATTAAATAAATTTGTTATATCTTTTCCTAAAAAATGATAGGCCCCCTTCATTTCGACCAATTTTATGTCTAATGTTTTTTGCTTCCTCATAGAGGAAGCTTTGTGATGGGCTCCATTTCGGCTTTTTTATAGAGTAATCGTAGGGTATATTTAATGATATTTCTATATACTAGATCGAATTTCTGACACATGTTGGTATGTATGTGTGTGTGTATGTGTGTGTGTGTGTGTGTGTGCGGTTGTATGTCTGTGTAGAGTGATTCCTCGATAACGGTAGCACGTATCGTGACGGGGGAGGGCTTTTTTTGTTCGTTATGATGTAAGGATGAAGCCAGAAAATTGTATTTAGCGATAAACGAAGAAAAAAAATTTTTTTTTCGATTTTTAAAAATTTTTTTTTACGGGAAAAATTTTTTTTGCGGGAAATTGTCATTTTCTTCCTTTTGCTCCCTCATATAGGAAGTTTTGTGATGGGATACATTTAGGCTTTCGTATATAATTATCGTAGGATATGTTTAATGATATTTCTATATACTAGATCGAATTTTTGACACATTTTGGAATGTATGTGGGTGTATGCGGCTGTATGGCTGTGTAGAGTGATTCCTTGATAACGGTAGCACGTATCGTGACGGGGGAGGGCTTATTTTTTTCGTTATGACATAGGGACGAAGCCAGAAAAATTCATTTATCGATAAACGTAACGTTTTTTTTCTATTTAAGAAAAAAATTTTTTTTTTGCATTGTTTGTTTGAGATACCCGATAAAGCTGAGAGGCGCTTTCGTTTCGCTTTCGTAATTAGAAAGATGATATTAATATTTTCAAATTATTTTTAAGTTAAAAAAAAAGTATGAGGAAGCTACTTGCCAATACATTGGCTGCGGTTTTTTAACTCCTCCGCTTGTGTTAAAAATTAAAATACACGAATGCAAACGATTTCTAGCAAATTGAAGTTTTTGCCCACTTTGTCTCATAAATTGAGAAAATCAATACTTTTCTACAAGATTTTATAGGAAATTATTTCAAATCAGCAAAGTCATAACGGCGGCCTTCAAAGGCATAAAAACTTCCATTTCCACACAATTACCCTCAGACCTGAGTGGTCCAAAATCCGATCTGGTTTATGAAATATTAATAAAACTTGCATCAGAAGTCGATATTGCATCCATCACAAAGTTTTTGATCAATATTCAATGAGAAATCTAAATTTCATGCAAAATGTTTAAAAACTGTAAGAAAATACATGTTATAAAAATTGCCTAACACTGCGATGTACTCACGATATATAATAGCATTAAACGCTTCGAAACAAAATGTAAACTTCAGTTTACTATTTATAGCAGTTAATTGTAGTGAAATTTATTCCGCACTCGTGCTGAATTATTTATCCGAACATCGAGCGAAAACTATTTTATTAGCCAGTTATACAAGTAATGTAAATTCATCAAAGACACAACTCGTCCGGGCTCTTTTATTTTCATTCTACTTTCGACTCGTTAGAAATTTTTAACCGAAAAACGCGCAATATCGTATGAGTCAACGGGTAGAGGCGAGCCGAGCTTTCGAGCCGATTTCAGTCGCGTTACATGCTCTTGCGTCGATATACCTATATCTGCAGTATATGCACGCGAACACGGCAGCGACGGCGAAGTAAGTTTCGTCGGTTTAGTTTGATTTTAAAATTAGTCACGCAGAAAACGCCGCGCCGCAGGTGAAATTCGAACATGCGATACATGTGCGCGGTGAAAAAGCTCGATAATTAAAATTTTCTTCGGAGTTTTTTTTACGTAAAAATAGAATAAAAAATAGCGAACTTTTGTTTTTTTTTATGCCAAAATCAGCATTCCTGTAGAACTACGCGGTGCACGAGTATTAGCAGAAAAGTTGCAAGTAGTTTCAAGTTTAAATCTTCGCCCAGAATATAGTTTTTCCGTCATTTTCAGGAAGTGAAAAAGGATCGATCTTTCTTTCTCTCTCAACTTTTAGCGTAAAACAACCCTCTTGCTCTGTGTCCAGCACAAAATATAGATCGCCTCGAATACGTAACCTTCGTGCACGCGAAAAACATAAAGCGCGTTAATTGCACATTTTTACGGTCAATAACAATCATACTAAAACCCGCGCGCGCTGTGTACGATCGTTTGTTTGTTGGTCATAAAAGAAAGGCTGCGCACTGCCGCCGCGCGACACACATTTAGCCACCGTGCACACACACTCGCGAAGCTACCCTTCGCAATTATTTGACGCGCGCGCCAACCCGGCTACACGCGTGTAGCTTCTTTTTTTGGATCTTTATCAAATTACCGAAGCTACGACGGAACCAATAAACACTGAATTGACGTTCATTCGTTTGCCAAGTATATAAGATTAAAACTACATATCGATGAAGATGCGACGAGCACGACTCATTCCACAAGAGTTTTATATTTTTTCCGAGGGTCTGGATACAACAGACGTGGCTTATACAGAGCAAATTCACGAATATTATGCGACACACTGCGCTAGTTAATAGGGGGCGTCGAGCCGCACACGCGGTCGAAATTACAAATGAATATCGATGAATTATTAGGATCGTTATATATTGCGGGCTAATCTTGGTCATACGCGGACTCGATCGCGTAGTAAAATTGGTTTCTACTCGAGGATGAATTATTACACGCTCTCTCTCTCTCTCTCTCTCTCTCTTCCATTTACCAGTGTTTCTTCGCTTCTATATCGCGTAATAGTGGCGCCGCATTGCTGGTGGTGCGCGAGAGAGAAAGAGAAACAGATCGCAGCTTGCAAACACGTTGCACATGCACATGGTACACCCACGCGCGCGCGTTATTGGCATTTCGCTCGAGTCGACGACGACGCTTATCGCGCGCGATGTATACAATTTAAAGCTCGAGTCTCGCGTATACCTGCGGCTCTGTATGCATGCATGTACATCGGGAAATCAAAGAGCGGTAATAAATAATACTGTGTAGACACTTTGCGTGCATTATTTGAAATTCGCTATCGTTTTGCGTACAAAAACAACGATTAAAATACAATAATACAAATAATACGATCGATTCTTATTGATGTGAATCTGTACTCATAAAAAGCACTGGGCAATCAAGTTTCTATTTTTGAAAATAATGTTTTATAATTATGTTTACTATGATATGCCGTGCGAAATCACAATATTACTTTAGACTAGGAAATTTCGAAAAAAGAAAGTCTCACAGCACGTGTAAAGTCAAACAAGGCAAAAACCAAGCTTCAGTTTTTCACTCTTCAAGTGCAAAATATACTAATATACCACAACTAACAGACAACAGCAATAAACAATGATGATTAAGCAGAAGCTAATTATGATAATATTTGTTGCACACAGCTAACTTGAACCACTCTCACTTCTTTGATACAATATGTAAAACTGTGTGCGATGGAAAACCAGTTCACAAAATCGAAAGAGACCGCTAATCATCACTTACGAGTCTCGCGATGTTTATATTGGTCGCTTTGTGAATTGCACGAGGCACAAACGTGTGCAGTAGCATAGAACGAAATGCTATGTGGAACGATGTTTGCACGTGCATAATGTATAAATACCGGACGATCGATTTTTCCGAACCTAGCCCATGAGCCATTAGTCCCGCGCGTTATATGGCTCGTTCTCCGGAATTCTGCTTATATTTAAAAATTTAAAACGAGAAAATTTGAAACCCTGTTGAAAGTGCTAGATTGATGATGACTTGAGCAATTTTCTTCCCTGCTCCATAACATTTTTGAAAATCCCAAAATTTTTATTTTTTACAGAGCTATTTAATGCGTCTCACTAATTGCAAACTGTTTGATGTATCAGAGCCAGGATCGTGTATTTTTCTATGGAACCTGCGAATGGTTACGGTCAAGATATCAAACTCTCGGGTCACTCTCGATCAGTAAATACGCGATAGAGATACCATAGAAAACGTAAACTGAAAACAAACTGAACATAAGTGATTGTGTAAAGAAACCTGTGAATCTGCTCGT